GCGGTTCCCATGGGTGGACCTTGGACAGGGCGGTTCTCATGGATGGACCTTGGACAGAGCGGTTCTCATGGGGTTGGTGGGAGGGAGAGCACAGAACTCTTTACCTTGACCGTCATGTTTCCCATTTCAGACAACGTGTTATTCTCTTAACTACCATTTCTTTGTTTAAAAATTTTCTTTCATTTAAAAGTTGAACAAGACAAGACACATAAATATAAATACAAGAGTAAAAATATAGAATAAAAAATAGCAACCACACTTCTGTATAGTAAACTAATCTTTCCATAGATATCACTTGTTATTCATATCTTCTACATTTCTAATATAAATTGCCCGTTTTTTCATTGTAGTAACATTGTTCGAGCTCACCGTGGTCAATAACTGGTTCATTATCATGGTGAGCAGTTCTTGTATACTCACCATTTTCCATACATCGGTTGCAAGGTTCAAATTTGAATAATCTTTTGAAAGTACCTTGGCGCCTCGCTTGAGCGCTTTGTGTTTGACCAGTGAACCAATGTATGGAAAATGGTGAAATAGATTTGTCTTCGTAGTAATTAGCTAGTGAATATAATATTACTTATACAATACCAAATATTATTTTGTACAGTTCGATACTTTTTASTGTACAGTTTTACTGTGGGTACTTTACCCATGTATATTGATGATTTGATTTTTAAAATTTCTCAACAGGAAGGAATAGTACACTCGACTTCTGACTGGAGTAGAATCTACTTCATGTCGTTCTACATCATCACCATGGTAACTCAATTTATTTAAAGTATTTTGGGTTAGGCTCGTGAATATAATGTTATTACCGTATTACGTATGATACGTACGAAATACAATAATCACGTATGATCGAAATATAATAATCATAATATGATCGAATTAATAATCATAGYGACACCACCCAGGTATTGCGCATGCTCGGATTATAGCGATATCACCCAGGTACTGCGCATGCTCGTAGCTACACCTGACCTAGCTTTTATGTTGCATGGTTGTCTTTTTCAGGTTGTCATGACAATAGTTGTGGCATTCATTCTTGAGGCTTTCTTGTTTAAAATACAATATCGAAAAGAACATCCAGACGAAGAAAGTAAGTCTCTTACATTACATTATTCCTCTGTAATTTTGTKTTCACTTTTATTGCTCGATCGACTGACCAACGGACGGACTTTGATTGACTTTCAGTGTAACTGACTCAAACATGACATACGATCAATCAATCAAGCCATTTATCCATTCATTTATCCATCCATATATCAACCATCCATCCATTCATCCATCCATCCTTTCCATTCCATATATCTATCTATCCATCCATCCATCCCATCCCATCCCATCCCATCCAATCCCATCCAATCCCATCCATCTATCCATCCACCAATTAACCAACCAACCAATCAGTGATTTTAATTATGATTTTTTTCCTTCAGCTGACATGAGTATCAGAACAGAGGTAGAAGTAAGCTACGAAGAACTGATGGCACTCAACTCAAAGTTTTGTGTTGGTCTGGAGCCTGGAGAAACGGTGAGAAAAATATCTTTTTTATTTCTGTTAGCAATACATCCAGTTTCAAGTTTATGTTTAAAAACAGTTCACTATGCCCCTCAACCCACTTGAAAACTCCTGAAATTTGGAATCCATTTCCAAGGACACTTGAAATACAAACAAAAGAGAACATTTTAGTAAAAGAACTTTATTMCCCCTCAATTACATAAGCCACTAGTCATGCACAAAGCAGCTCGTGCAGTCGAAAAATGGAAGCATAATATCACTAAAAACGCGACATAAGTTGCATTAAGCATTGCAGCGTGTAACCTACAGCGCAATTTGAAAAAATGTTGCGAGAAAGTTTCAGCACTCGTTTCCTTTTAGCAACGATTGCCTCTCCGTTGCACAGTTTAAACACTCTTTGAACTTGTGTCGCAAGGCGGTTGCGAGACAAGTTGCAGAGAAAACTGCTCAGTGTAATCTCGCCTGTAAATAGCTGACTTATAAACGAGGAATGATCGAGTCTGTGGTCTTCAAAAACAGCGGTGTACATAGAAATCAAAACTGGTGTATTGCGTTTGAACCTGTCAAATTACACTGCTAACTAATAAACGTCTCTTGTGGTTTGCTGGTTAGGTAATCTACAGAGGAAAGAGGCATAAAACTAAGATGGATCTCAGCATCAAAATGTACTACGAAGAAGTTGAGGTTGGAAATATTTTGATCATATTTATTTGTATGAACTGTTCTACTCCCTTTTTTAGTTGTACATGTTGTTATACAATCATTCTCTCGCCTTGTGCCCGCGTACCATCTTAATTCATTTGCCTATTATTGATTAAGACTACTGGCAAACGTGGGCATGGATCTCTATTGCTTATCATCATCTTTGTAATCCACCTTTACAACAATAGGAGTGGAAGAAAAATGAAAGAGTATTCAACCTAACGGAATCTCTCGACCAAATGGAAATCCGTCAAGACGATTCAGCAGTGTCTCCCGTTGAGGCGCTGGGCGCGCGTTCAATGAGCACGTTACCAAGAATGACAGAAATGTCCCCGCAACAGACAGCTACACTGCCGCCATCTTTATCACGTCTGGCCAGAGGCGTGAGAAAAACTTTTAAAAACCGCAAAAGAGGATCGTCAGTGAAGAATCAAAATAACGTGGTATGATTTCGAATTCCTTTCCACAGCGCAATTTTCATATGGCTGTGAAAATTATTCAAACTTGCCGAGTAGGAACGCCGCCGTGACACGGCAAAGCATACCCCAGACCAATCGCATTGCGCCACAGTTTACTTTCCATCCAATCAGATACCCGGAAAACGGCAGGAACACGGCGCGGACGCGGTCACGCCAAGGTCACGGCACTGTCGGACCAATAACATTGCGCGAGACAAAAAAAAGGCAATCAAAATTCTAGAAAACTTTGAGTCCGCGACAAGGCACCAATAAAGTACGGAACTTTTCACAATCATACGAAAACTACTCTATGTAAATAAAGAAGATAATTTGGTATAAATAGATTGCTAAAGATCAAAACACTGCAATATTCATACAGGTGGAATACGCATCCACACTGCCCCTATTAAATCTTTCTTTCGTTCGTGTTCGTCTTCGTGTTCAAGAGAATGAGAAAAAAATCTGAATATGTCATTTTCCTCGTCTTTAATTTTAAATCTCTCTTCCTTGGCCCGCCAAGTTTGGATGCGCACGCAACCTTGAGCTATGAGATTTTGTCACCTTAGGGTAAAACACAGGGAGCCCAAGCTTTTTTATTTTTAAAAAAACTACGTCTAATATTAACAGGCAAATATCCTATTTTTTGTTAAAATAGAGAATAATTCAATCAAAAATGATGTTATTAATCTGGTGATCCATTCAGTCAATTCGATAACTCCGGATAAATAAGTAGTGTACTAGACCTAGAAATAAGTGGCTTGCCCGACAAGAGCGAAAAACGTCTGCGCATGCTCTGAATCCGTATGCAAATTGGTTCAAACATAAGTAAATTTGACTTTCAAACATGCCTGATAAATTGGACTTCACAAAATGCTTAGTGTTCATGCTTGAAACTTAACTGGGCTAATTCTTTCATATTGTGTTTGTTAATACAGTATCTTGGTCTGACAAAAGACTTTTGAACTTTTTTGTATACTTGAAGAAAACAAACATTTATTTTCCCACTCAAACTCTTCAAAATTCTTAGAAAACGTGCTGAAGTGCTCGCATGCGTAAACGTTTTTCTCTAATGTCGGCTTACCCACAACCCGGTCATCATTGATTTCTTTTAAAAATATAAACTCCGGATAAATAGATACTAGACTTAGAAATAAGTGATTTCTTTTTAAAAATATAAACTTCTGATAAATAGATACTAGACCTAGAAATAAGTGGCTTGCCCACAACCCGGTCATCACTGATTTATTTTTAAAATATAAGCGCGCATCAATCCAATGTAAACTAAACTTTATATTGAAGCTATTTTATTTTTATTTTTTTTGAGAAATAATAAATGTACAAAATTTCATTTATTTCATTTAATAAAAAGGTATTATAAAGTAGTTACGTTCGCATAATTCAATCATTTATCTTCAGGGTTTATTCCACTACAGCAAAGGCCATTACAGTGCACACCATATATCCGTGAAAACTCTTGCAAGAAATTGTACAACTTTGCGCAATCAGTAATTTCAGTAGACCGTAGACCTACAAAACATTGCACTAATTTGTACAATTTTAAGTAAAACACAATGAAAACGGTTCCGAGTAGGGAGAGCATCGTTATAAATCCAAATTTTGGATCAAAGACGACGAGATGTAGAACTACAATTTTGTGAGTTAAGTTTTTCATGGATATATGGTATGCACACTCTATCACCACTTTCACCTATTTAAGTGGTTTAAGAGTTGACTGCTAGCTTCATCAAAGGTCCTTTCACTGGATGTGAACTCGATTAGACCACGTTTACTTTTTCACATCCACTGAAACGAGGATCTTTTTTATTATCGAAAAGTTCTCATTTTATCAGGACAAAAAAAGATAATAAATAGATGAAATGTATAAAATGAATTTTTTTTTTTTAAATTTTTATTTTATTTATTTATTTTTTTTTTTTTTTTTTCGTTTTTCGTTTTCAATCATAGTACCCAATCCCTTGGGGTGGGTAGGAAGGTGTCAGTAATATCAGTGGCTTGCGGGTTGATAATTTGATGCTCGTAAAACTATTACTTTTTTGCGACAAACACAAAACAAATTACACCATTCAAACGTATTTCGCTTGCTCTTTTCGAAATTGGTAGTTTTAACCTCAAATTCCAAAATTGTGGAAATTCAGAATCCGGATTTATTCTTTGGATCGGACTTTTTTTAGGTGGAGTGTGGGATCGAAAAAAATTTTTTCTTCGGTATTTCAACTTCAAATCGATGTTAAAAAATTAACAGTGCTTCAAGAATTGCTTTGACGCAGTTATTTTGAAAGATTCACTTAAAAAAACTGGCCTTAATGAGAAGGAAACGGCTTAGGGTACACATTGAGAATCTATGAATTTATTCCAGTCATTATTCCATTTCTTTTCATCTTCATCCCTGCAAGAAATCGAAAAAGCTATGTTCGTAAATCCCTCACTTGTTGCCATGCCAGATCACGTGCTAAAACAGAAAGATAGCAATCGTACAGTTACCATAGATACTGCAAAGGGTAAAACTAAAGATCAAATCTTTATTCCACAAAAGGGATAGATATTCTGCTCGCTATCGCTGCATTGATGCTATTCAAATTAAAACAGAAAACGTGAGTAGTGATTTTTGTTTGTTTAAAATATTTAAAAATTTTGGTATTTGTTGTAGACTATTCAATTTAAGTATGGACTGCCTGTGGTGCGACAAAGGTCCAAATACCACAGGAAGCCCAATCCCTATTCTACAATTATTCTGATTCCGCTAAGAAAGCAGAGATTGTGACTTTTTAACGAACCAGTCGAGAGCGCCCGCCTGTGGCCAAATTTTGGCTGGCATACCATGAAGTTCGAATCCAGTTCGAATCCATTGAAAGGGCCTTTCAAGCTACAATATCAACCCCTAAACTATATTCAATTAGTAAGTCTTCTATTTATTCGCATAGAGAACGAAAGGAAATCGTTTGAAAGCTATACAGCCTCCCCCTCTCATAATCGAAAAATTGTGATATGTTGTTAGCTCAAAACAAAAACAAACAACAAAATAACAAATGAGCTTAAAAGGTACTTTCACTGGATGTGAACTCCATTAGACCATGACTATTTCACATCCATTGATAGGACCTTTTTCATAATCGAAAAGGTCCTTTCACTGGATGTGAACTCCATTAGACCATGACTATTTCACATCCAGTGAAAGGACCGTTTACGTAATCGAAAAGGTCCTTTCACTGGATGTGAACTCAACTTGACCATGATTATTTCACATCCATTGATAGGACCTTTTTCATAATCGAAAAGGTCCTTTCACTGGATGTGAACTCCATTAGACCATGACTATTTCACATCCGTTGAAAGGACCTTTTCCATCATCTAAAAGTTATACGTTTAGATTAAAAGAAATGAAAACAAATAGAATAGAAAAAAAGTAACTTAATAGACTAGAGCATTCGAAAACGGTTATCTTACCCAAATCGATAGATAATTCGAAACAATCGAGGTGTTTTAAATGTTTTAGCAAATAAACACAATAAATACCTCCACAATAACATCCGTGCTCTTGACAAGTAGAATAAGGAATAAACACCACGCATTCCAGTATATATGGATCTTCGAATTATATACCTACATCTCTCTTTATCGCCTTTGGCTCCAAAAACTTTTCATTTTTAATTAGGTTTATTTAACAAATAAAACAACTTTTTCCTTGCTCTGTTCAGTAATACAATCCTCAGGAAGTGGCGTAAGCACAAAAGGAGTTCTTAAGGAGCTTCCTAAGGACTTCCTAAGTGCTTTATTACTTAACGGAGCACTGAAAAAGCTGTTTTATTTGTTTTATTGTTTAGTTATTAATTTTATTTCGGTATTGAATTTTTTTATTCAAAAAGAAAGACGGTCGCAGGATCTAGCAGCACTTCGCGCGCGCAGATGGCGTCAGCACTGTGCTCTGTTCACTAATAAAGAACAGTTTTCGACCAATCAGCGCGCGCGTACCATCCAAATAACATAATAAACAACTTTGTTTCACGGTCAAAGTAAAATAAACACGAGCGCGTGCGTTCTATGAGTTATCAAATACTTTTCATTGCTGAAAAGAAGCTGAGAAATAGCATACATCTATAACCAATTTGGAACTCTTTTTGTGATTTATTTTCAATATTTTTGCTGTTACAAAATCAAATACTTATTGAATAAATAATATGTTATATGTTTTCTAGACTTCCAATAACTTGTTTCAAACAGAATCATATATTTTCAATTAAATTAAGAGTAAGTACGATTTTTTTTTTTCATTTTCTATAAGTAATCCGTAAATAAGTATGACTTAGAATGAAATCACGCCTAGCGGAGAATATTATTCTGTCTTATAACGAAACGTGTGCGCAAAAATCGGTGCATCCAAACCCTTGGCAGTCATTAAAACCTTTGCCTCTGATAAACTAAAGCTAGATTGATATCTTAACTATGGATAAAGACTATGAAGTGAAAGTCAACAAAAACTACAAACTACAAATCCAAAGATAGCCATGCTGTTTCCGCTCAGCAAAATATCTCAATGCGCACAAAATAAACCACTCGCACTCTCATCTTATTTTAAAACAAAATCTCATCCACTGTTTTAAGTCCATCAGGTTCTTAGTTACATGATACTGCAGAATGGTTTGCGCTTTTTTGAATAGTTCAAGTCCATCAATTCAACTTGTTTTAGGAATTCCTGCGAGAGCTGAAATGAGTGGTCGATGAGAATGTAGCTGTCCACCAGGGCTTTGGTCTTCATTGATACCTCGATACTCCGCTCCAGCAGGCTAACTTCGTTCTTATACAAGTTGGACGTACCTTCGGATGCCATGGCCTTATCATCGTCGGGTTGCAGTTCATTTGTAGATTTTTCAGAAGATGCTTCAGATGGTTGCGATTCATTCTGCTCCAAAACTTGATTATCCTGCTCTCGCTGTAAAGTATCGTCGGATTCTTTGGGCTCGCCTTCGGGCGCGGGTCGTGTTGGCATTTCTTCGGGTTGTTTCTCCTCGACTTCAGATTGTGTTATCATTGCGTCAGGTTGCGGTTCCTCTTCGAATTTATTCGGCTCGCCTTTCGGTTGTTTTACCTCGTCTTCGTTTCGTGTTGTTATGTCTTCAGGTTGCGATCTCACTTCTAGTTTATTCGGCTCGCCTTCGTGTTGTTTCGGCTCTTGAACAATTTTTTCCTCAGTTTCATGGGAACTGTTCTCGATATCTTGAGATTCTCTTTCATCTTCGTTCTTCTCCTGCTCGGTTATATCATGCTCAGTGTTTTCTTTTCTTTTCTCTAGCTGCTTTTGGTCTTCTTCCTTCACTGATGTGGTAAGCTCACTGCTTTTCTCTTCAACCATCTCCTCGTTTTCTCCTTGGACACTAGCATCATCTTCATGATGCGTCAGCTCCTCATTATACTTCTCTTCCTTAATTTCATCATTTAGCTCTTTCTCCTCTTCGATTGTTTTTGTCTCTTCAGCTATGGAAGTCAGCATGTCGTTCGTTCCCCTCACGACGTTATTCTCTTCACTTGGATTGTCACCCTGTTCCTCACTATACTTCTCTTCTTCTTCCTTAATTTCATCATTGAACTTTTTCTCCTCTTCGATTGTTTTTGTCTCTTCAGCTATGGAAGTCAGCATGTCGTTCGTTCCCCTCACGACGTTATTCTCTTCACTTGGATTGTCATCCTGTTCTGTTTTCGTCACGCGGTCTACGAGTTCTTTAAGAACATCATTCATCAGCGCACGACAGAAAGAGTACGTCTCCCCATCTTTATTCTCTTCTTTGGAATAGTCGGACTTACCCACTTCAATCCCAGCAATTTTATCACTCTCTACACTTTCTTGAACTTTTTCAACGCTTTCCAAATTTACGGTACCTTCTTCCTGGCTTTGTTCGTTTTCCTCTTCCACCTCCTTTGATTTCTCGAGATTGTTTTGTACGAACTTTTCATCCGTTTCGATTTCTTTTTCGGCCTTTGCTTCTCCAATCGCCTCGTACTCCGTTGATTTTACTCTTTTCAAAGCTTTGGGTAGTTTTATATTCAGTCCGCTCTTTTTTCTCTTGTTGGGTTTTTCTGGACTCACTTCTATAGGTCTAGAATTGTTTAGAATCTCACTTCCGGTTACGCTCTCGAATTTGACCAACAATGGAGCACTTATTTCAAGCTTTTTTGGTTCTGTTGTCTCGTCTTTCTTACTTGCCTTCAGATTTTTACTGGATATTTTACGGAGAAAACTTTTCTTTTTCTTCTTTGGTTGTTCATCTTTCACTGGACTTTCGATGTTTTGCGGTTCTTTCTTCTCATCACCTGTTGCTGTGACATTAAGCTGTTCTTCTTCGTCGTCAACAACAGAATTTTGTGTCTTTTGTTCAAGTTCGTTTTCTACCTCATTAACGTCTTCATTGTTCTGTATATTCCTTGCACATGCCTCAATAACGGGTTCTGATATTTCATCTTCGTTTTGGTTACCTGCTTTTTCGTTATCTTGTTCCACGGAGACATCTTTCTCTTGAGATTTTTTTCTCGTTTTCTCGCGTCGAAGACTTGCTGTCAACGAGCTAAGGATGTTCCCTTTTCCAAAGCTCGCAGACCTTGTTCTTTGGGTACTATCAGGGGATAGACTATAGTTTTCTTTGTCTGTTGTTTCGTCAAGGCTGACTGATCTTCTTCGCTGTTTCTCGGGCAAAGGAGGGCATTCTGAATCTTCATGTTCGTTAACTGCTTCTTCATTCACAGAGTTTTCCATATCTTCTACTTTTTCTCCAGGTAAACTCTCATCGATCAAATGAAGTTCAGTCGTCCGATCATCGAGAGACTCGGTGTTCTGGATCGAAGATTTGGTGGGTTTAGAATTTTCCAGGTCAAGCGACTCATTCTCAATGACAACCGAGTCATTCGTCTTCTTCTGTTTCGTAAAGCTCGCCCATCGTTTGAATTTTTGAACTCTAGAAATTTTTTCCTTTTCTTCAGCGCCTTCTTTAGGTTTGTTTTCATTTCCACTTCCCTCATTCTCCTCAAGCTCTTTTCCAGGGCTCAAATCATCACAAAGAMTTTCCTCTTGCTTCGTTTCTGGTGACAATGGAGCGACTGAGAGTTCGCCTAGTTCCGGTGCGCTTTCTTTCCAGGAAAATTTCTCTTCAAGATTTTCTTCAGTCTCGCCTTCGTTCTCAACTGTTTGTGCTTTATCTTCGACTCCTTTGTGCTTCTTCTTAGACTTTTTTCTCTTTCGTCGAAGTGAAAGCCCTTTAGATTTCTCTTTCTTTTCCATTTCTTCCTTTTTGTCACAGGTTGGTGGCCTGTAGTCGACCGGTTCACTTTCCTTGTCTTTTGGTTCTTGTTCACCAGCGCTTGTTATTGTTGACTTGGGCTCAACTAGTTCGCCAACATTCGTATTCTGTAGTTCAGAGCATTGTTTTGATTCCTGCGAAAGAACTACATCAAACAAAAATTGTGTAAGCAATCATTAAACAGCAAAGAATTATTAGTCAAAAGACAGAAATTAGCGTACCTGTGTTTGTCTCTAACTCAGCTGAATCGACGTTTTCCTCTTTCAAGTTCTCTGCTTGCGATTTGCTTGGATTTTCTTTGTTATTCGTTGCTGCCAAACCAGGAACGGTGAGAACAGTCTCAAGTCCTGTTTCAACATTGCCCTTTCTTAACCTCTTCTTCTTTGGTTTTCTTATGCCCTTTTCATCGCCCTTGTTTCGCTTAGAGCTCAACATGGCCTTGTATTTTTGAATCTGTGTTAGTGTGTCCTCTCCTCTAGCGGCCATAATTCAATTACGTACAGAAATATTCAGCAGGAATCTCGCAAACCTCGACCAAAAGACAACGCGACGAGATCTCGTGCAAAATACCGGCTGATTTTTTTTGTGTGTTGTTTTTCTGTCCAAAAATTTTTTATGATCAAAAGTGTCAATCTTTTGTGACGTCATAAAGCCCACGGGAACACTACATGATTGACACCAAGTAGGCCCGTGCTTTGGGGATCACGTGATAACTTAATTTTGCAAAGGCTTTTGTTCTTGATGTTTTTGCGTCGAGAGTGATCGATCCGAAACATTCTTGGCCTAACCTGCGTCATATTTTTGATGCGCAATTTCGAGTATCACCAAAAACTAATAGTTTCTTTGGGCATTTGTATATTTATTATTTGTTTTAAGTAATTATGACAAAGTTCAAGGTCCATTCAGTAGATGTTATTGCATTTCCTATCTTTTTTAGTTTTTATGAATGCATTACCAAATGGCTATTCATTTAGTGTGTAATTAAGCGGTGCAAATTAGCACGGTTGAGTACAAAGGCCTGCTAATGGGCGTCCCTGGTCTGCCAACTGGGGTAGTACTAACGGTCTCCGGCATCCAATGAATCTTCCGGCCAGTCATCTTTTCCCGAATACATCTATTTCAAAACAAAAAAACAAAAAAACGTTGTGGGTCGGAGACCTGACATGGGCGATCTGAGACTAAACGTCATATTTGTGTTTTTAAGTATGCTTTCTGCTAAAATACGAAAAGTTATATTCCCAACTCAAAGGTCTTGCTTCATCAATCTAAAAGCATGCTACTCGCTCTCGGACCGTCAACGATTTTTGAAATAGGTATATATCCGTTCCGCAGACCAATAAAAGAAATACAAATATTTAGTATATTTTTACAATACAAAAATATCTAAACGTGACACTACAACATTTTATTTCTACTGTGTTTATTTTTGTCTCTGATTAAACGTATTCATTAGCGTACTCTTTTAAATTGCACCCACCCCTCCTCTTATAGAGATGCTGTTTGCGCTAAAACAATAAAGGCTGAGCGAAGGAAATTAAAATCCCTTGGTAACAATTCAACATAATATATGAACGGCAAAAATGAGCGCGCATTAAGGGCTGCTTCGATATTAGTTTGTTGTTTGGATGTATATCACTATGACTGATGCTACTAATATTAATCAAGCAACGTTTTTTTTGTGTGTGCGTCGTTCATGCGAAGCTCAAAAAAATTTCAGCAAAGAGTTTTTTCACCTAGTTACCATTAAAGGTTATGCATTTTGATCCTAGAATTTGTAACAAAATATTCGAGGGGAGTTTATTTCTCGGTTTTCATCTGGAGAAATCTTTTATTCAGTGAACATTGAAAATGAAAATGCAATCTTTGTTTTTTTTTTCGGAAATTTAAACAAATCTCACGGACATTAAAACAACATCTTATTTCAGATTTTCTAAAACCTTAATGTAATTTAAATGTACAATTTATTTATCTATTTATTTATTTACTTTATTCTTTGATCTTTTCTTTTTGCTTCTTATATAATTATATATAGTATTATTTTAATTGTAATTAATTAGGCCCTTTATTCTGAAAAGCCTTATAGAGGACGAATAAAGTATGTATGTATGTATGTAACATAAATAAAACGTGAATAATATAATTCGCCTTTCGCGGGTTTTTTTTTTTTTTTTTTAATATTTTTTACTCAATTTACTGTGTCTACGGGTATTTGAACATCAGAAAGGACTGCTTTACGCTTGACTTTCTTAATCTTGAAGCACTGTGGATATTTCTTGATTAGGTAAACTAGAAAATTCACCAAAGCTTGTTTGGGAACTTGACCAGCTCTTGTGAGGAACGCGTTGATCAAGCTCACCAAAGTGGAATAGGTCTGATCAGCTGTTTGTAGCACTAGTTCGTACACGGCCTCGGTTTTTGTTTTGGGTGGGTTTCCTGTGTTATCCGACTTTGATCCAGGTATCATCATATCAAGTAAATTTGCTATCAAAACGTTTGGCACGAACCTTTCAACCTCATTTGAATCGCATTTTTCTTCATCTTCCCCTTGTTTTGTTGAATCTGAAGAGTAATCTGGATCGTGATGTTCATCTGTTGGTGTTTCTTCGGATGGCACACCTTGGCGTAAGAGAGCACGGATCACCGATCCTTCCTCGCTACTTTGGCTTTCCTCTTTCAACAAGACATCATTTTTGAGTTGTTCTTTGTTCTTGTTGACATTAGTGGCCATTGTTTGGGCTGTAACCTCTTTGCCATCTGATTGGATAACAGCTTCAGGTGACTCGCACTTCAATTGTACATTTTGTACTTCAGAAGTAAACTCCTCGCTGTTGTCTTTCTCTGGTTCTGGTTCTATGTTGTCCTTTTCTTCGACAAATTCTTCTTCTTCTGCCTCCACCTGACCTGGTTTGTCTCTATCCATGACCAGGTTTTCTTCCTTAACAACCTGTGAGCTCTCAACTTCACTTTTTTCTTTTTTCGACTTCTTGTTACGCGAAGGTAGAAATCTTCGGTGACCAAATTTCTTTTTCTTTCTTTCATGGGTGTCTTGAACGTCAGCAGTTTCAACATCCTTCTCTCCTGATTTTTCTACCGTTTTTTCTCCAGTCTCTTTGACGTCTAAGACTTCAACTTCTTCCGCAAGCTCTTTCTTATTTTCTTTGTTCTTCTTCTTGAAAACATCGCTTATTTTTCGTTTTTTCTGCTTCACTTCAATATCGGCCATCGTCTTACAACAGCTGTGTAAATAGCCTCAAATGAACTGTTTTGCGTGCCTTGGTTTCAAATTTATAAGCTTCAAGTAAACAAACTCACGTGAAAGAAAACGACTTTGGACTTAGGATAAAGTTTATAGTTCGTCTTGAGACGAACAAAGGGCCGAAATGGAAGAGATACGAATATACGAATATAATCACTCATCAAAATGTCAAAAATATTCATGATCTAAATCTAGAGCCAAAGACTGATGACATCATTTCTGTATATAACATTTACCTGAAGCACCTAGTTCGTGATGTAAATAATTAAACATATGTTTTTGAATAGGATAACAATCCCAAGGGTTCAAAGGTTGCCTAAACACGGCTAAAATCTATTCAGTTCTTCATAAGTTCCATCCAAGCTTGCCAAATTTCGACCATCATGCTAGCCGTATGATTTCATATAGATTTTTATGAACTTTTTGCAACAGTTTTTTAAGCTAAGTATTTGATATGTCATTATTGTATTTTGTTTTCAGCATTCAGGAATAGGATAGAATCTTCACGATTTGCTCGGCAAGCCCAAATCAAAAATTTGAAACAATATAGATATTCGGATCGTTGGAGTTTTTTTTCAGATAGATTTCGGTTGCTGTTTACAAGTATTCATTTGCTATAATTTTCCTGGGAATATTTTGTCATTTTGATCGTTTCTTAGAAAATTTTCCTCGGATCAAAATTTCGCAAAAACACTTTCTTTACAAAAATCCTGCTTAGAGAAAAGGAAATGGAGTTCTGCCTCCCTTCGTCGCTAGTGAGAACAAGGCTTTAGGGTTTGAAGATCTTGTTTGAAAAAATCAATTCAGGGCTTCTCCACAAGCGGTGTTGCGTTAGAAGTTCTATTTATAACGTAAACTGATTCATATTCAGTACGTGGTAATAAGGTCAATAGGAATACATGCAAGTTCCTGTAACATACTGTGTGACATGCCAAATTAAAAGAACCAGACAAATCTAAGAATGCAAAGTTTAAAAACATTATATTACATTACTAGTTATTTTGAAAATTAAACTTCATAATCATTTTCAAATCGGTATTTTGATTCGGGGGGGGGCTGGGTTATTCGGTACCCAAGTACAACCTCTGGAATCAAAATATGGATTTTGTCCTCAACATCACCAAAACTAAAAGTCATATCGCAGAATCATGGACTGTCTGTTGAAGAAATAGAAAACGCGCGCGCGTACTGTGTGCAGTTGTAAAGCACGCGGGGATTGGCAGAACATGAAAGAAGTGTTACTAGAAGAAGCACGACGCGTAGCGGAGTGCTTCTCGAGTATTCTGCCAATCCCCAAGTGCTTTATAACTCTACACAGCACAGCATGCAAGTTTTTTATTCCTTTAATGAAATGCAAAGGGCGCGTGTGTGCTGTGTGCTCTCATAAAGCACGCGCTCCCAACCAATCAGAATGCGAGATTTGTAACAGTTATTTTATAATAGCATATACAGTAAACTACATATTTGTGTCATATCGAAATGGAGTCACTACGGCCGGACACTCTATCGAGCATTTCCACAACAGGTCTCTGATCAATAAATCGGGTTTCTATTCTGTGGACCACTTCTTGACTTCTTGACTAAAACTACGAAATCCAACATCTGCACAAGCGAAGAGAAAACGTCTTTTGCTTGCGTTTTTCTCTCAAGTACGTAACATCTTGAGCTTGTTTCATCTCGTAAACCTTCAAATCCAAATCTGTGACAATCCAATCTCCCAAACAACATTCAAACACTTCCTCGTGGATGCCTAAAGCAGACAACCGCTTCTCGTCTTTATTTTTGAAAGGTTTTCTCTTTTCAGAATTCGAAACATTTTCGCGATGATTAAGTGTTGTAAGTCCCAAACCGTTCACTTTCTTGGACTCCTGTTCTGTCTTGGATCGTTTTCGAATTTCACTTTCCAAGCTCGTGTATTTAATATTTCCGCATTCTTCAAGATTGCGGTTCGAGGCGGACAGGAAGGTGATGTTTTTTCTTATCGGTTCCTGTTTAAAAGAATTTTCTTCATTTACGAAATGCGAAGGCAAAGGAGAGGGTAACGACCTTGCTTCTGTAGCACAAAGAGAATTATCGTCTTTGCGCGCATGCGCAGTTGCATCTATTTGAACCGGAGATGTTTTCTTTTGGTGAACAGAGGAGTAAGGTTCAGTGCTTGTTTTCCTCTTGTATGGAATCTTTCTGCTTATATCAACAGGACAGCTATAGTAATCACAATGTTCCTCGTGATCTTTATTATCGTCATCTGGAGTTCCAATGACTCTTTCGTCTTCTTGAGTTAGTCTTGAGAAGTCTTGTTCCGTAGTATCCAGAGCGTTTTCGGGATCTTTCCGCAAGTCAACGTTATCCTCCATTCCTGGCATTTCAGTTTGGATCCCCAACTTTGTCACGTTTTCCAGCAAAAGTTAAGCTCGTAAGTGTGTCAGCTGTGAAACAGAAATGAAAACAAACATGTATTGAGCCCCTTCTGATATATAAGCCAATTTGGCGCTCTAGAAACTAAAACACTTGGCTACGGACCCAAAATAGGACAAAGGCGGCAAAATGCCTTCATGGGGTCAAGTGAAGCTTTGCCACGCACAAGAATAAGCCGCAACCACTAGCGTTTGTCGGTCACGCAAATCTTTGTAGTGTCCGAATTACATAGGCCTACTCACTGTGATGAGAAGAGTACTGTATGCTGAATCAGTTACCTATCACGCGCCAAGCCAGCTTGCCCGAACTTTGCAGTGTTTGCTGTTTCGTCGCTACATAACTCAATAATAGTCCAGTTTCGAGGTCTCTGTTGCTCAGAGTTAGAGTCGATTTTGTGCAGAATATACATTATTCCAGTACCCTGGGCTCCAGAGGTTCTATTCGCTTTTCCCGGAACATTGAACGAGCGAGCTCACTACTCGTCAACACAGCAAATGCCGGAGCGAGAATGCAATAACCTCTGGGCCCCAGGGTATTATTTCAGAGAAAGGTCCGTGAAATTTCAAAGTGTTTGTATTATTAAAGTTGTCACATTCTTTACTTTACCGCAATCTCGTACCCAGAGCCCTTAATTCTTACTGCGCATGCTCGACGAAATTTGTACTTTCTGTCTGTCTGTCTATTTTTATGTTACACCGAATATTCAGTCCCCCCCCCCCTCCCTCCTTTCTCTCACCCCCCGCCCCGATATAATAGTGATGGTCTTCCCGAGGTATACGGTAACCAGGGCTACATATGGCGAAACGCATCATTCACTCGCAAGCAAGAGCAGGTCAAGGAAGGTGAAGATCAAAACCTCAGCGGATGCTAGATTCAGTTTATAAACATTTAAAAAATGTTAGTCTCAAGGCATGATCATCGTCACGCGCACTCAAGACTGATCATCGACCAGGCCCATCCTAACCACAAACTGTTCCAAGGGGAATGAAATATATTCTCAGTGCCAGTATTAATCACCCTCTTGCGCAACTAAACAGAATACTCATATTTTGAGTTCACCTTTTCTCAGTCTTAGCCTCAATTGTGTACAAATGTGTTCTTTTCATTTAATATGGGCCTTATTCACGCGGCAGCCATGTTGGATTGAACAATAGATTCCACCACGCGTAGCCTCAAGCGCTTGAGAATTAATTTATGCTGGGGAAACAAAGGTTTTTATTCTCATGAGGATAAACATGGCCGCCATGTGATAAAAGTCCATCAAGGTCCATTGTATAAGTTGATTAAAATGCCACGGGTTTTGGTTGAAAAGCTGAATATCACAACGTACAACCGAGACTAAGGCTGAGCAAAGAGAACTCGAAACTGGAGTATTCCCTTCATCTGTTGTGATATTAGACTTAATCCAAAGAGTACTGCGTGATTCAATAGATGTGGACCTGTGGCGTCATGTCCAGCTGCATATTTCTAGTGTAAGGCTTGCATGTTCATATCCCAGCTTATACATTAGTATCTACATACATACATACTTTAATCCTCTATGTAGGTCATTTAAAATGGCAACAAAGCTGATGTGGGAATCATTCAGACTTACCTGAGGCTTAAGCTTAGAAATAATCAGTGTTACGACTGATGGTGTCCTTTAGTATGATCAAGATGTCGGCGAATCAAACTTACGCCGTCGCGTGACCTGTCGTCGCGTGACCTGCATGTCATTATACCTGCCGTTTCGAACAGATCCAAGTCCTGTATCTATTATCAGATATTGAGTAACATGAGTAGCCGTGTGACCTATAGTAGTGTTTGATACAAGTGGCGAGTTCCAAATTACCTCTGTCTCCTTGATCAGACTCATTTACTCAGGGTTGGCCTCGTATCAGTGTCTAAATATTCACAAATACCAACTGTAAAGCTTCAACAATACAAACACTTTGAAGTTCCACGGACCCTCACTGTAACGCATGAATATTCTGCACAAAATCGAGGCTAACCCTGAGCAACAGATAACTTGAAACTGTGGTATTCAGTATGAAAATCCATGTATTTTGGCTGTAGTTACACAGGTGACGTCCGTTTTAGACAGGAGGCAGCAAGTTGGACAAAGTTTTTGGAAAACGGTCAGTTTTCTTTTCTTGACCCTCAGGCAGTACACTTCCCCCTTCAACAAGACCTTTTTTTATCAAGACTGGCTTCACATGATCTCAGTCTAGATCCTAGCTTTCCAGTATTTTTGTGAAGGTACGAATTCGGGAGTTCGCAGTAAACTTTTTTAAAATGATTGTAGCCTCCCCCCCCCCCCCCCCNTTCTAAGACAGACATCCCTTTTATTCATTAAGAAATTCATGACACTCTTATAAAGTCAACAAAGAAAAGCTTTCGTGAAAATAAAAATGTTTGACCATTGACCCGCCAAAAATTTAATATTTGACTTATAGACCTTTCATTTGAAGCTCCCCCCCCCCCCCCCCCCCCCCTTTCATTCAGTAAGAACTCCATATGACTCTCCTATTAAGTCACCACAAGGCGAAGCTTTCGTAAAAATAAAAATGTTTGACCTTCAAAAAAAAAGGTATTTTTTTATACTGACTACCCTTTCTTCCCCAAATAAATAACGTACCTTTCCTTAATCTTTACGCCAAGGAAATAGGATTTTCTAAAGATCTTTTACCTGACCAAAAATAAGAGCGGATTTTTTGTAATTTCCGTCAAGTTTTGTTATTGAACCACGTAGGCTTAGGACTTTTCAGCAGTGAGTAACCTTTATAACCTAGGACAGACGTCAGTAAGAACAGTTTATAAAATGAACAATACGTACTTACAGATGGATTTGGCTTTATTGACTTGTGCGCACAATGATAAAGTATACATTTTACTGATTAAATTTAAATAAGGAAATCATAATATGGATCTGGATGATATTCCTAAAAATCTCAAATGAAATTGTATGCGCAATATGTGAGTTCCGCTCAGGAGGCATGATTTGAGAAAGAATATGAGTTACCATTTAATTATAACCTATCGCTAATAATAACACATTTCAGTAATCTTTAAATTATCCTTTAGAATATTTCCGAAAACGAGCTTCACGATTTTGTGCCATTAGCAATAACCTCGCTACTAGTAATGTCCCTACGTTGCCATAATGTTAAAATATGTGACGTTATTTGTAACTTAGCCAATCAAAGTGCGCGGACACGCTCACAGGTTTTAGCAAGTCGCGCAAAACCCGCTTGACTTGATACTAAGGTCCCCGCAATTGAACGAGCTAAGAGACAGAATCAACCCATCAAATTATACTCACAATGATATCTATAATCAAATAAATAGTATTTAATGGATATGTTCCTCTGATGACGAAATAATTCAAGGCAAATAATATCAAGAAAATCTTCAAATAAAAGTTAAGATAGAAAATTCTATTTATAGAGGATAAACACTAAATAGTATACAATACTTATAAACTCGTGGTCCTCAAAGAATTAATTTATAAAATAAAATTTGCATTCCTAAGAAATCTATGGTGCCAAAGGATTTTTCATTTAGGTTCCTTCTTGGGCGATAGAGCCTCTGAAACGTAAGCTCCCCCCCCCCTTATCCGTGTTAGACGCCGCAATTTAGGCTTGGTGAAACTTTCGTCGCTAGAAAGTTTCACGAAAAGTGAAACTGCTTTCTACTAGTGCAACCGAAACTTGTGTCGCGAACAAGTTTAGGGACGATATTGCGCCGTTAACACCCCCCTCGTTGCACACAAGAATCAGCTTCAAGTTTTAACGTGTAACAGGGCCTTTAGCCTCACAAGGATTCCTATACATACCCAGCGACTTCACCAACGGTCTACGTTTCCTATATACGAACCAGTCGCATACAAGCTAGTACTCTGACTGACAAGTGTTTCTCTTGATTGAACACCAAGCCACAAGCGCCTGCACTCATGATCATTCTACACTCGTGGCAGCCAGAGCAAGAGAAGTAAGCCGCGGAGTAAAAGGATTGTGATAAAGAACCCAAGTTTGCAAAACATTCTGTTAAGTGCTAAATATCTACTATGAAAATAATAATCTAAATATTAGCGATCAACGTTTGTCATTGTTTAGCTTTCATGGATGTCAACTCATTATACATCTCGTGAAATTCATCAATAAACATCTTGGTCAGTTTGTTCGGGTTACTCATCACCGCCTTGTCAGTCATGACGCTCATGCGCAGTGACCCGGCGTAGCTAAACACTGACATCGACATACTGGTGTCGCTCATCAGAGGTGGCCAAGCAATCACCGATTCAATCTCGCTGCCGTTCAACTCGAGCGAACTGAGCGGACCAGGGACGTTACTGAGAATCAAACAGCAGTGCTTGTTGAGGGAATACGATGAAAACCTACCAATACACTCGGGAAGTGTTCCAACTACATAGTTGAATATGAAGCCAAATATTTTCCAGTCTGAGGAAGCCTTCATGTCGTCCATGCGGTGCTTGGTCTCGTAGATGCGTTGAATGGGGTCCACTATCCCAACAGGTAGAGAACACAGTAGACCAGTCGTGTGGTTCTCTAAGGGGATGTTATCCTTGGACAAGATGTTAGGGGACCGTGTGTTGATGCTGACGGCGATCTGGACGTCATTGGGGTCTTGCTGACCTTCTGACTGTAGATAACGTCGTAAGGCACCCGCAATGCAGGCTGATAACACGTCGTTGACTGTTGTACCTAAAATAACAAAGACCATTAGATCAGTATTTATGACTGGTAATAGTTTTGATGAGTGAGATATTAAGAATCAAAGTATTCCAGGTTCGAGTTCTCCTTTCTTAGCCTTAGCCTTGGTTGTGCGTTAAAATATCAGACCATTCAACCAAAACCGTAGTACGTACATTCCTTATTATACACTGGACCTTAATAAAAGAAAAGAACACATTTGTACACAATCAAGGCTAAGACTGAGCAAAGGCGAAAGTCGAAATGGGAGTGTTGTCAATTATGGGCCATCAAGATGATCAGTGTCGGGGATAAACATATCGCCTTGACAACCCGGCAAAAGCCACGATTCCTTGCATCTATTGGCTCTCAATTTCGCTTAATTTAAAAGATATTTCATAAGTAAAACCGTATGGGTTGCCTGTGCTAATTAGCATATAACGCACTCCCCACATACAAATATCCAGCACAAGTCTGCTCTCCAGTATGTTTCTTACCAGTTCGGGTTTTAATTTCTTTGATCAAGTCCATACTAATAGGCTTAGTCCAGCTGAATAGCTTCTCTCCTGACAACTTGTTTTTGGACAGGAAAGGGTTGTTAGTCGACATGGCCAAGGCGACGCTCAGGAGAGCAAGGGGACCCGTCAGTACAGTCTTCCATACTTGTTTTTGTTTATCACAGGGAGTAGGCACGGGTTTTTGCACCCTGAGAAGCTCAGGTTTACGATCTACCATACGAGCAATGAGTCCCACAAGCGCAAACCCATCTCCCAGCGCATGATGAATGCGGATACAAACCGCAAACTGTTCCTTTCCCATGTTGAGCGGCATCACAACGAAGATCCACGGGGAGATGTCTTCAGGGAACGGTTCAGAAGCAAGGTTGCTCATAGTCTGTTGTAGTTCAGCTTCTGTGCAGGGTGAGGGACCGTCGGAAAACATCACGTGCTTCTTAATGTCAAAATCCTCTTCGGCTTGCCAAACATAGTGTCCATACTGCTTGACCACCTTCTGGCGCATGCGCAAATAACTCGGCTCTTCACTGTTTAATATAACCCTGTCCATTAGAAGCTCACGGAGTTGGTCAATGTCAGGAGTGCCATTGATGACGAATAGGCCGTTAATGAAGTTCCTATTGTTCTCACTCTCGTGTAGAAATGGCACGTCTTTATAAGCCAGAAGCTTACCTAGATCATAATATGAGACTAGATTGCTTTGGATTAACTTGAAAAGCCGGAAAATGAAATAAAAGGGTAGTGTGAGGGTAGCGATGACAACCCAAACTAATATTGCACTAAAGCACAACACGCCATAAATGAAGCTTGGTAGAGCACGAAGGTATCTCAAGTAGTTGGTCATTTTGTGGAGAGTTATTGAGTAGAGCGATGCAGCCTCTATAATACTGGTAAGCGATTATACCAGATTATTATGACCTGGGGAGTAAATGGATAACCACATCATTAGAACATGCAAATTCTATCGTTTTCTAATCGTATCTATATTAGAATGTCCTGTTCTCACTAGTGAAACAAGCAGACACAGCTTCATATGTTCTCTCTATGAAAAGAAGCAATGCAAACGCAAGGGAACAAGGGATTTAGTTTTTTTTGCTTGTCCTTATAATAATAATAATAATATTTAATATTTATAAAGCGCGACTTTAACATGTGAATATGATCAAATGAGAGCCATGCATCGATTCTTTTGAAGTCGGTCTTTCCATGTGCAGAAAACGAGATTTGCGAGGGTACTTTTAGAAAGTCTAGTTGACTGAGGGTGCTCAGTAGGCGACTAACAAATGAACTCATGCGCGTTTGAGGAGAATCAAGGCCTTATGCGCAAGTGTTCGCGAAGAGGTTAGGTTAGGTTAGGTGAGCATTTGATGAGCGACAAGACTTTGAGACCGATTTATGAAGATATGCATTGATTTCTGATTATTTTATAAGAAGTTCATTTATATGATGACGTACTTTGCAAACAGAACTACAACACTCACCAAGCTAGTCTTTTAGTCAGGGAACTGGGAATTTCGTAGAGCGGAAGTCGAAGTTGGCTTACGAAACGAAAGGATTGAACAGAGTCCAGTTAACTAGCTTTGACTCAGGAAGGCTAACTAGAGTGTCTTTAGTAGACAAAGAATTTCTTTAGAGGGGAGATGTTTGATTAGCGAGTAATAAACGAGGAGAAACGACAGAAACCACTCACTTTGTTTCTTACTAGAGGAGGGGAGGGGCGGCAGTATTTTGAATAGCATAGAAAAATTAACAGTGATAGCTCAATAAAGATTACATGAAAGATATATTGCAGATACAGCAAGAATATGAACCCTGTCTCTAGTTACACATTGAGGGTTTTCTAGCTATCACTTGATCCAAAGACCGACCTCGTAAGTGGCGTGATATGCAAAGCCACCAAGCAAGGCCAAGCCCATCAAATATCACGTCTATAAAATCGCTAAACTACTTAATATATATAATTTATCAAAAATGTTAATTTTAAATACATCTATCACTAATGCCAGTTAAAATGTCTCCAGGCCAGTCAAAAGCAAACTCGAAAAAAAGCTATTTAAATGCCAAAATGTAAATAACTATAATTCCAAAAACGAGTAAGTCGGTTATGACAATAAAACTTGAACATTACGATACGTTTTAACGAAGATAATCTTCAGATTTTTGGTCGAATAAAGTATGACCACAAACCAAACATTTATAAGGCTTAACGCCGGTTCCTGGGGCCCCAGGAGGGAAATGCTACTCGAAATCGTTTCCCACGCAACCCACTAAAATATTACCAAAAAAGTTGTGGAAATATACTTGAACGGTGATCTTATGCACGATTTGCCCGACAAGACAAAATCTTACCTTTCACTGTTGGATAAATACGCCTAACTACAACGAAAAAATGTTGAGGAACAGGTCTTGGCAAACATATGAAATAAAATACCCGGTAAATAGTTTGCGCAATCTCACTTCCGGCCCTAAATAACCGCTAATTAGAAATACTGATTCCTTTTTCCTCGTCGGATCAAATTCGGAGCTTCTAGTTTCTTCGGAAAAAGACATGAATCATTTTTAAATTTCGCGTTATTACTTATGATTTTGGTCTACATGTTTTATTCATTGAAAATGGTTTAAGTTAAAGCCCTTTTGGGTAGAAAATAAATAAATAAGCTGAAGCCCAAGTAAACTAAACCGCGGGAGGTTTTCAGCAAAACTCGTGACGTATTTCCGGTAAAAGACAATGGAAAACTGGAACTTGTATGGTAGAAAAGTTTTTTTGGTGTATCTTGAATAAAAATTTATATCCAACAAGAGAATATTCATATTCTCTTGTATCCAACTGGTTAATCTCTAATACCTGTCACTATGACTATCCTTGTCACTATTTGAAGGAAAAAGTCAAAGGTCTGGACTTCTATACTATAAAATCTACTACTACACTGGAGGGCCGTTAAAAGAAAAGAATGGATTGATATTTATGTATTTATGATTTTCTAAACTCTTTAATCCAAAAACAGTGATGGAAATCATATACCCTAAGACTAATATCCCGAAAAACCATACACATCTAGTGTAACATCCTCGCATAGTCTTTTGAGGTTTTTCACTGTGACATCACAATATACAAAAAAATAATAATAATTTTTAAATTTTCATAAGAAAAAAGAGCTTACAGTTAAATTGTAAAGTTCCATGATCATTGACAATAATCCAAAGAATCTATGAATTTTTTACAACCTTTTTTACAACTTTTTCAAAGAAATGTATGTCGATGGACAGGCAAAGTTTGCCTGTCATCCTACATTTCTTTGTAAACATTTCATGTTTAAAAAATCATATCTTCAATAGTTTACCTGTGATTTTCCACTAAACTGTGCAGTTTTACTTATATCTGTATGACAACTTTAAATATCAACTCTTTTTCAGATCAAACAAATTTTTCTATAGCATGATGTCACCAATAAAAAACCTCCTCCGTGATGTTTTCCCATTTTTGACTACATGTTATTCCCTAGAGTATCATTTCCTTGTTTAATGGTGGCACATGAGTAGACACATAAATATGGATACAACTCAAACAAAGAATCTTATTATCTAGGAAATGAGAAATGGTCTGAAATGGGTAAACATTCCACTGAGAAGACAAAGGTCATAATCCATGGCAGTCAAAGCTAAGGCCAAGAACTGCATTAATATTTCATTTAAATGGACATAAAAGATTTGTAAAGAACAGGAAGCTAAAAAGGTGAGCCTCAGGGTTACTGTGGTTTCCCATATCCTGCAAACTCAGACATTTCAACAGTTTGTTGTGAAGTTTGTTTTTCACTGCCACCAGTCAAAAACATAAAAGGTACCCACTGATCATCTTTGATTGACAGCAGCGAAAAACCAAATTTCAGGGTTTGTTACTACTGAGTTCGCAGAATATTAAAAACCACAGTAATCAACATTTTTCAAACTCCATTCATTACATGCTTTAAAGGGAAAAAGTGGAAAACCTTTATGTATGATAAAGAGTATGCATGTTACGGGCCCTTAGGCCAGGAGGGGTCAGAGGTAAAAAAGTTTGAAATTCTGTCCTGGCTTACTTGATGATCATACATCATTGTTGGTAAATCACAGGATAGTGTGGTAGAGAATCAAAAAATGTCTTTTCATTTTTTCCTCTTACAAGTCATATGGCCATGGGGAGGCATGGGTATCGTGAGCAGCTAATTGATCACATCTCACTTTAATCTTTAATCCTTAATCATGTACTCTTGGGTTAAAGTCCTGTCAGGCTTGGTTTCATATATATGTGAACAGAGTTGTTTGCTTCGAGGGATTTTCTCAGGGTTCTCCATTTTTTGTCCCTCCTCAAAAATCAACTTCTAAATTCCAATTCCATTTTAGGAGATTAATTCTCGATTTCATCATCTTTCACATTAGAAATGTGAATAAATTAGTTATAATTACTGACTGACATTAGTAGTTTCCAGAGTATTTCTACTAACTTGAACCACAGGGGGAATAAGTATGACAGATTCTACAGTATGTCATGAATTTCAAATTTGATCTCCTTATCCCTAGCCTTTTTTCACGTTGTTTTTTATTTTTATTGAGTCTATATTCCCAGACAGGATAAATACTATCTATTTACTATTAGTATACAGTATATAATAGTATATGTAACTGTAAGAATAAGTGAAGGAAAGAGAGCCCTGTTATAGAGCCTTAATATTCCCGGCGTTTTCAGAGTCATTTGACTTTGATGTGAAAGTAATAATCGAGTGGATCGATCCTCATAAAGATTGTTATTACTAGTACAAAGTTGGTTGTACTATCATTTTATTGGAATGGACATTTGTTCGCTTGTAAAGTTCGAATGACTCGCCTTATCAATAAAGCCGGTAAGATCTCATGTACTTAAATAAAAAGGGTTCCTTTTACTCGTGATCATCGCGCGCTTTAAAATTTTTGCGAGGGGAGAAAATTTCTAAAACGCTGGGAAAACGAAAGGCTATAACAACCGCTACTAGTAAAAGAATAATTTCAAACAACGCTATGAAAAACACAAAACAGTCATTATAAAAGTATAGAAATCTTACCTGCGAAAGGACGAAATCGCTAAGCTTTACAATTTTGAAATTCTACTTTTGAATGAAAATGTAGTACGTAGTTTCTAAGGATGTCTTGCATACGGAGGTGAACAAGAACAACGAAGTGACGGACATTCTTTACGTACAGTCATTATCATGTGGCCGTGCTCGAGCCAGTCCCTTCCTTGCTTTTGAAGGGTCATTCAAGGTCATTTGTGTTGACAATGACACTGATGATTGATCTTCATGAAAAATAATGATAACTTTTACCGTAAAAGTTATTGATGGGTATAAAGTGTAATCAAAGTATTTCAATTTTATAGAGTCCCTATCAGTGAATATTTTAATATTGTTATAGCTCCCCTACCCCTACCCCCGATAGCAGAGCCTCACCGCACTTGTCAGCCCATTTGTCATCGCCTTCCGGGCTCAGAGGCATGAGAAATTGCATATCTAAAAAGATAGACCTAAAATAAATGAAATATTTAGTTGAAGGGACGATTCATTTGTAAAATGTTTGGGTCACGACGGTTTGAATTTTTCGATATCTCCCCTCCACCTTACCCCTCCCCTCCCTTTCCTCCACTTATATTTTTTCACATTAAAAAGAAGAGATAACCGCCAGTATTATGTTTTTGATCCCTTTAAATGATTTCACCATATAGTCCTTTTATCATCCATGATGTAAATCATTAAATATCATTTCTAGTTCATAAAATTAGAAAAATACGTCATTATATCGCGCTTACGTCATGTTTTAGTAGTCACATGTCACGGTCGTTACTTCATGTATGACCACACGAATTGGCACTATCTTGGGGTTGTGTGTTGTGGTAGTGTTGCATCGTTCGGTGTCACCTTTAGTGATCCGTGTAGGTGCAGCACATGTAGTTGGTGTAATACCCGTAGTACCCGTGGTAGGTGTAGTACCTGTAGTACCAGTAATACCTGTAGTACCAGTAATACCTGTAGTATCTGTAGTAGGTGTAGTAGATGTAGTACCTGTAGTATCCGTAGTACCTGTAGTACCTGTAGTACCTGTAGTAGGTGTAGTACCTGTAGTATCCGTAGTACCTGTAGTACCTGTAG